GTGTAATAACCGTTACTGTGAGGGTAAATTGTTTACCATGGCATTATTATTATTATTATTATTATCATAATCCTGCTTGCACTGCAGCTTGCTCCCCCCCTCCGTGTGCGCTTAGGGGTTTAGGATAGAAGAAGTGCTCTTTATCAGATAGTTGGATACGGTAGAATCCCGACATCCACCAGCTCCGAATACCCCCCGTTGGTTTTTATCGTTCAAGTCCGTGTACCTCTGGGAACATGGCACAGCGCCACCGATGCTACTCCTCTCTCGCTCACCAACTGTCGTTGCATACAAGTCACGTGCAGAAGAATGGGCCGGGTCAATGAGTGGGGTTGGGTTGGTGCGGTTTAGATGTCCGTCGAACAGAGGGAGAAAGGAAGAGGAGAGGAAAAGAGAACGAAAAAACTAAATTTTTTTTTTTTTTTCAGCAGTCCAGATTTCAAGCCCATCACCATCAAAAATGCGTGCTTGGTGCTCTCACGAGCAGGGAGGGGGGGTCAATTCTCCGTATGGATGAATGGATGGGGGGGGGGTAGGTGCGTGGTGGTAGTTATGGTGAGCGTCATGCGTTTTTATGTCTCGGTTAGTCAATTATTATTGAGGAAAGCTAAAAAAATAAAAAAATCAGTTCAATCCTTTCCTCTTTGGTACTTATGAACCTCTTAGCGAGGGAAGTACAAGTTGGGACTGTACCACGATGACAAAAAAAAGTGCAAAGTGAGGGAAATCCCTTTCTTTCCTGAAAATCCCATATGATACCAATTTTTTTTTCTTCTTCTTTCCCATGGTATCGTAACTCGACCTCTTGCTCGCGTCATACACACCGTACCTCGTTCTGACCCGTCAAAGTGACCTCCCGAGATAACAATCTGTCACTTTACATTTTTTTTTTTCTCGTGACAACGCAAGGCAAGAATCTACAGAAGAAGAAAAAACAAAAGGACAAGACTAGATCAGACTAGACTGAATCTGTTGAAACGTTCAGGATAAGTGAATCTTGGGAACGGCCTGTCATCGGCTCACCGTACGAACGTTTTCTCGAGAAGCCTGGACTTTTTCGGAAAGGAGAAGAAGAGATCCTCCAAAAAAAAAGAAAAGAAAGAAAGAAAGGCCAAGCGTGAGACGAGTCAAAAATCCATTCCCGAAGGTTTTTTCCACTTTTTTCAAATGATTGATTGTTATCTATCATTCCTGGTCTGTCTGTCTGTTTTATGGATTGGATTGTCGGAACAAGTTGATACTCGTACAATATCTGGGACCTTTTGGACGGTAACTATCATACTTGTAGCTTGTATTGTACAGTACTAGTACTCGTACTTGTAGCAGAGTCCTACAATAACCGGTGTTGAGTGGGGTTGCGCAAGGGGTGGTTTGTTCGTTTAAGTTAGTCTGGTATCCGAACAGGGTATCATACAATAATTATGATGGGCAAAAAAAAAGAAAAGAAAAGAAAAGAAAAAAGAAAAGTACCGTGCCGTACGGTAAATCCTTACGGTAACTGGGGTAACTACAGTACGATACTGTACTTCGTACCGTAGGGTAGAGCTCCGAATCGACAGAAAAGCTTGGCGGGATCCCAAGCTGTTGTAACCCCCTTCCCCATTTCCCTCCCCAGCGATCAGGAAACCCCACAGTTGGGGAAGGGAAAAGCAAAGAAGAGGGAGAAAAAAAAAAAGGAAAGAAAAAGGAAAGGAAAAAAAAAAAAAAAAAAAAAAAAGGAAGGAAGGAAGGAAGGAAGATGGAGCGATAGATACATTGGAGATATAGTAGTATCGTGCTTTTTTTTTTTGCTCGAGTAATGAAGGAAGGACCCCGTGCTTTAAATTTTATGCGTGGGCGGACGGGATCGTGATACTATGAACTCACTTTAAGCAGATGGCACCCTACTTGAGTACCGGTATGATACCGTACCAATGCCAGTTCCTCTTTCTCTCTTTCTCTCTCTCTCCCCCTCCCTCCTTTTCCACACCGGTGATAGCTGAGCGTACGAGTACTAACTAGTACACGTGCTCGTACAGTAGCTCTTACTTTCTTTGTAAGCAAGCGGTCAGGCATCGTGGTTTGTGGACGAGACGAGGAGTACTAGTGCTATGCTATTGTGATGGGAAAAAAAAGTGTTTAGGATCTCGGATTACTATTCCGGCGATGGGCGAACGCGAAGGGAGAAGGTTAAAGAGTGGGTCCCCCGAAAACAATAGTTACCGTACTCTCCATCACAACTATTAGTTTACCTAGGAACTGCTCGCCAAACCAAAGTAGTTAAGAAACCCCTCCCGACGACCGACAAAGAAAAGGGAGCAGGAGATAAAAAAGGAATATCTTCGACCCTTGTTTTTCCTCTTCTTTTCTTCTCTGCTGGCCACACTCCTGAGAATGGAAGAAAGAAAAGGAAGAAGAAGAAAAATCATCTCTATGATTCTCTGTATTTCTTCTTTTCTTCACGGGCGACAAATTATATTGGTAGCTAGCTAACTATCACACTTGAGTATCATACGGTACTGTTAACTATTTTTTTTTTTTTTAACAACTCGAACCGATCGGATCCACTCCCACTTTGGGCCGCAAAGGGCTTGTTCAGAGCCCATGTTCTCACTCAAGTGAAGAAAAAAAGTAAAAAGGATAAGGCAGCTGGGGCAGGTATCAGAGTGAGCACTGCACAGTACGAGCTGTACCCCACAAAGTCCTGTGTTTTTCTTTCCTTTTTCTGACCGTTTTCCTTTTTGATCACCGCCATCACCACCACCATCACCAACCCCCCCCTCCTCTCCACCACTTTGCCGATTCCTGCACAGTTTCCTCCTCCTTCCTCTCTCTCAGTCATTCCTTTAGTGTACTTGTGCTCCCAAATTTGGGCCTTCCCTCCCTCTCCTAGTCCATTGACGGAAGGGATGAAGTCGATGAAAGCACCACCTTGAAAGATTTTAGAGTGAGAGTTTTTCATTTCGAGGTAGCCGGTATCGTGCGTGTATAGGTAGAGAGATAATTCAGTTGACGAAAAAAAAAAAGATACACACAGACATGTTTGATGTCTCAAGCCAACGGGGAATGGATAGGTGATTGGGGAAAAAAAGGGGGGGTGGGCAACGGTAGAGAACTGATGGTTCTGAACCGAGTATCGTGGAGATCTCTCGTGCAAGCCAAGGTGGAGCCTGGAGCATGGAAATCTAGACCATGTTGGCAGCTGGCAGGTGCAACACATCCCTAATTCGGGATGCGTTGCGCATAGCCTGTAGCCAGAATCTGGGAAATGCTCATCCCAGAGATCAACTTGGCAACGATGGGGGAATTCTTGTATGGTGCAGTCAAGTACTATAGAATGGCTCTTGGTGGGAGTACATATGCTTTGCAGAACCACTTTACAGGAAGAGCGGGAGGAAACGGCAAAGTGCGAGAGGAGGGGAATTGTCCAATTCGTTGTGCAGGAAGCAGGTAGGAAGCAGGCACTGCACGCGTTCCCGAGACTGGGGGAGGTGGATGGGAATGGATGGGGGAGCGAAAGGGAAGAGGGGGGAGGGGCAGCATAAAACTAAGCGGTGCAGTAGAGGGAGAAAGGTGGTGAAAGGTGGTGGTTTGCGGTGACGGTCGATCGGCTGGCCCAATTTTTACCTCAACTTATTATACGAGTAATGTGGTGTGAGGGGTGTGTGGATGTCTGTCTGCCTCTATCTCTCTGTTTGCGTCTGCGCATTAAGCACACCACTGTTGACTCTCACCATCGCTGCGGTATCGCATCCACTCGCCGACATCTCTGACTGCTAGTAAAAGGTAAGGTAGCGGCAGGGGAGTGGTAGCGAAAAGAGTCAGGCAGGGAGATACAGTTAGGCTTCTTGTTTGGAGGAAGACCAAGAGAGCCGGCAGCGTGCGTAGAGTACCGGTACGGTTATTAATTTTGATCACGATTGTTCGTTCGTTCCAATAGCCCTAGAGCTGTCTGGCTGATTCCAGTCTTGGGTGCATCTGTTGCTGCTGCTTGCTGCTTCAAACTCCCGCAAGCAGGAAGGAAGAGCACAAGACAGCAGCAGCAGCAAATGTCTTCAAATTCTCCGGATGATGGGCGAGCAGAGTGACTGAATGGTAGACCAGATCAGGCGTACTGCACAGTAGAAGAGACTTCTGTGTTGAATCAATGAATCGGTCAATCAATTAATCAATCACACACTCTCTCTATCCATCTGTTTCCTCCCTCCCGCTCCTGCTCCTGTTCCTCACTCACTCCCTCAAGCATTCAGTTACTTACCCCAACCCTTTTCCTTCCGGTCTTTATCCCCACAATTCATCAATCCATCACCCACCCATAACACAATCATCTCTCGTCAGTTCCTGATTTTTTCCCATCAGACGAAACTACTCATTAAGCTCGCTAATCCACTATCACTGTCACTCGCTACCGGTGGAACTGCCACTACGCTGCTGCCGTGCCGTACCGGACACGGGCAACAGACTCCAACCGCAGCTACAGCTACTAGCCATCATCCCGTTACCTCCCGGAGTCAATCATTAGCTAAATTGGCACCGAGAAATACGGTAGACGAGACGAAACGCCGATCCGAAGTTGGTGGGTCTGGGTGTCTGGCAGCCTGTCTGGTTGTGGTGGTTGCTTCTCTGGAACACCTTGCGGGGAGTGGTGGTGGAAGAGGGAGGGCAGGGTCTTCCTGCGTACGAATTCATTCCACTTATATAATTCACCACACCCCCCTTTGCTAGCGAAGTCCGATACCTTTCCACCGGACCCGCTTTGCTACGATATCAGGGACTCCTATCCCTCCCACAAACCTCTCATTCTACCCTCTCGATCCATTCATCCCACTTTCACTTGTGCTGTCCCTCTCGGGCTTCTTCGTGGCAGACGGAAGGGTCGGAAAGGCTGTCCATTGCGACGTCGCCGAGGACACACTACCAAGGTCGACTTTTACCCATTCATCCACCCATTCACCGCTAATAGTGCCCAACTAGCCACTCGTTCCGCGCTTCACCCTTTCTTTTCCCTTCCCTCCCTTCCCCACCTCGCGGTTGACTTGGTCGTTGCTCACCCCTCTGTGGACCTGCTTCCTTAGTCCCTCCAACGCTCATCTGACCTTCTGGGTGGTGACGATATCGTCTTGGCTGTATTTCGTCTTGAACTTTTTTCTTTGCTTTTCTTTTCTTTTTTCCCTCTCGTTTTTCACTTCTGTTTATTTCCTCGTTTGCATTCTTGGGCATTGATCTTGCGAGATTTTTTTCCCTTCTGAGTTCGCCAGCCTCAGTGGATTTTTCCTGGTAGCCCTTATCGATTCGGCCTCGCCTAAGTTTGCAGCTCCTCACCAGCCCCAAGTTCTCAGTGCTGGGAGGACCCTTCTAACCCAGTCTCCAACCTCCCTCTCCGCTCCGTTCGTCGAACCAACACCGCACAAAATACCACCTTCCCGCACTAGCCTCACCAATCCTTTGCGACTCGTGACTTCGCGACTCGGTCCTTACGGAGACAGGTGGACGGGTCTGACAGGGTGATTCAATCTGAAGGGAAATAAATTGTATTTGTGTGTGGTCGTTGAAACCCTCATTAGAAGGATCCGTTGAATTGTTAGGGGTGGTATTCCTGTTGGTTGGTTTGACGTCGGACCAAACGGAAACCCCAGAACCAAAAAAGCACCCTCATTATATTTTCTCCAGTAATACCAACCCCAGAGGAGGTGCAGGAAGGCTGGTTACTGCAGACACCTGTGTTTCTCCAGACTTTAGACGACAGCAAATTCGGGTCTCAGCTTATGGCGGCAACTGCTCTTACCAACTCGCTTTCTGGTCGGGACCTAGCACGGTTGTCGATAAGCTCTACATCCACAATGTCTTCAGGGGTCTCCATGGTTAGTGGGGCGAATTACAGCTCCTCTTCAGCCTCATCATCCACTTCGTCCCCACCACAAATTTCCATTTCGTTAGCTGAGGATCAAATGTCGGAGAATGGGGTTGTTACCAAGATCGAAGACTTGGGGGACGAAGATATGTTGAAGAATGTCCCACCCCTCCTTTCGCCTACTGAAGCTGGAGAGCCATCCAAGCGAGGTAGAGGCCGGCCACGGAAGCATCCTCTCCCACCATTTGGAGCTGTGCAGAAGGTTACCAAGGGCAGATCAAAGACGGGCTGCATCACTTGCAGAAGGAGAAAGAAGAAATGTGACGAGACGAAGCCCGAATGTTCGTTATTTGCTCCATTGGTTCCACCCTTTCGGACCCTTTCCACTTCTAAAGCTCCACGTTTGAGATTATGCTCGCTGATTTGTTTGTGTAGGTAATAATTGTATCAAGAATGCCGTTGTGTGTGAAGGATATCCGGAAAAGACCTATTGGCAGAGTGGCCGTCAGAGAGCAGAGGGTGAATGCCGATCGACCTGGGAACTTTGGTGCCAAAAAAACCTTCTACTAACTCCGCTCATAGCAAGGAACTCTGTCCCGGCTGCCGTTTCTAGGTTTTCCGAACTACCCTGCTTGATCGATGGAATTGAAACACGAATAGACCGTCTTCTTCTGGACCACTTTGTTCGAAACGTCAGTCGCATCCTTACATTGTTCAATGATAGCACCAATCCATTTCAGGAGATGCTTCTCCCACTGGCGCTTCAGCATCGTGGCCTGATGCATTCTCTGCTTTGCCTGTCAGGATCTCACTTGTCCAACGCAGATCCGACATACAGCATGGCTCAACATCATCATTTTGAAATGGCTATACAGTTTCTTCGAAATGATCCTGTGTTGACAGGACAGATTGCCATTGCTGGCGACCCGACCATCGCCACGACACTGATTCTCTGCCTGAATTCCATATGTAAGGGGGAGACCGAGGGTGAATATAGACCACACCTGGATGCTGCAAGGCACATGCTATCCTCGACCGGTTCTGCAGAAGACCGGAGTAACACCTTTAGCAATTTTCTTTACGAGTTTTTTATGTACCACGACGTGATTAATTCCGTCACAACATTAGACAGACGACCCATTCTACTGATGGAAAACTACACTCTTCCAGCTTTTATTATCCAGCCTGAGGCCGGTGCTTTGCTGGGCGTTCTTGACGGATTGTTCGGGTATCTATCCAAGATCACACTTCTGCGAGATCAGATTAGGACAAGGAAGGCAAACGGAGAACATCCAAGCGTGGACTACGAGGTTCTATCGCAGGCGGTTGCGATTGATTCCGAGATTCGTGAATGGGTGCCTGCTCAAGTACCGGAGTCACACCGCTTCATTGCCGCGCAACTCTATCGGCAATCGACTTGGGTTTATCTCTACCGAACTATCATGCCTTCCACGGCAAACCCTAAGATTCAACTCGCCGTCGACGAAGGACTTCAATATCTCCGCCATCTTCCCGAGAACTCGGGTACTCAGAGTATACTTCTAATGCCATTATTTATCCTGGGATGCGCTGCGTTTGTTCCAAGTCAGCGACCCGAGATATCGAGACGCTTTCAGGGTCTGCATGAATACTCTAGGCTTGGGAATATCGTCACGGCGCACGAGGTTGTTAAGAAGATATGGGAATTGATGGATCAAGGAGATGAGGAAAAAAGCTGGGATTGGGAGAAGATAATCAAGGAGATGGGGTACGATTTTCTGGTTACCTGATTGGGGTGCTTTGTCTTTGGAGGGTATTTTTGGAGTGGGGGGGGGGGTTCATTCCATTTATGAAGGGTGCAAAATCTTCTCTTTCAACGCTTTTCTTTTTGGCCTTCGGTTTTCTTATACCTACCTATTGGTTTTCGAAATTTTTTTATATGGTCTTTTGGATTTTCACTGTTCTAAGCGTCAGCACATCGATGGCCAGCCTTTTGTTGTTTGTTCCTAATATCTGTACACGCTGGCATTTTCGGTTTTCGATTTCCCTTTCCTTCTTTTTCTTTTTCTTTTTGGCCCCGAGGAGTTTGTGTTATATGCTGGAGTTTGCAGGAAAAAAAAATGTAAAGGAGGTTGATATGTTTATTCGTCTCGAGTCGGATCGGCCTGAACCCCGCAAGGCCAACTATCCGCTGTTACAGTTTGGACTTGCTATCTAATCTTCTCAGATGCCGCCGGTTACCATCCCTATCACCGCCCAACGGTCTTGCAGGTAGAGGAATGGACTTGAGGGTTAGTGGTAAACCTTGCTGGTTTATTATACAATTGAGAATGCTTACATCTCGATTTAGCATTATTATACAACTTGTTGGGCACTTTTTTCCTCTCTTCATTCCATCTCCTTCCCTCCTCTGATCCATTACCCACTCAGATTCTCTCGCTGCTTGTTCGCATATCCGAATAGCGGCATAAAAAGTAGCTATTGTTTTTTCCTTCTCTTTTATGTGAAATTATTCAGGGGTGGGGACGGGAGCACTAATGTTCTGATATTCACTGTCTGAAGGCGCGATTTTATGCTGTGCTTGTATGGCGGGGCGTTTTTCAAGGAGTGGATATATTATTTTTCCTTTCATTCCCCATTTATTTTGATTTTTCTCTCCATCTTGTATTTAAGTGCATCATACCCCCCCGTCTGCTTTTATTTTCCTTCTTTTCCACGGCGTACTACGGTGTGGCTTTCTCCTGTTTCAATTATCTTCATTTTGGGTATTAGGCCAACCAATAAGGCTCCTGATAAATACTTATATATATTCTGGGGAAACATAAGATCATTGATCCACTCCGCTTTATGGCTGGTGTTCTTTGTTTGCCTTTTGCCCGGGCTAACTTGCCACCGAATTTGATGGCTGTGCTGCGACTACTGGGGATCGGGGGACGGAAAGAGGAAAGCGGAGAAGACAAAAGCAGTTGATGGCAACAATACTCACTCAGGCCAGTAGTAAATACGATTTAAAGGAGGGATTGGGCTTTTATTTGCTTTTCCAAAATCGCCAACTCGACTGGTTGCTGCTGTTGCGTCAGGTCAGGTACATAAGTGCGCACATACGTACATACCATGAGTTACCTGCTTGACACAGTACTGTACATGTCTTTCTTTTTTTCTGAGGAAGCGGGGCTTGGGTTGATACGGGGGTGCAAATTCTGGCTTTCTCGGGGGGAGGTCGGATTTAAAGGGAGGTTAACTTAGTATAGGCCAGTCGGAGGGTAAGCTGGGTTAGGTTCGGGCTTTGTGGTGGGGGGTGGGCATTGGGAGCACTGCACGGTACTGCTGGCCTGGGCTGTGGGTTCCTGGGGGTGGAGTTAAGAGTTAGTGTACGGTGCTTTGGCGGCGGGGCTGTTGTGGTGGTGGTTTCTTGCCTACTTCGTTGGTTTGTTGTGCCGTAGGCAGTTGAGTGGACAATGGGGGTTGACTTGATTGCTCTGGCGGGTTTGGCGGTAAGCTGGCGTACGGGATTGCGTTCTGCTTTGGCAGTAGTTGTAGGTGGTTAGGTCAGGTGCTGTGGGCCAGGATATCGTAGTTCCCGAGGGAGGTGGTGTACTGTACTCGAGTTCTTGGGCATAGTACCGTACCGGAGTACTGCGTAGTGGCATTATTGCTTGTAGGATAGGATAATATTGTATCTAGACTACCCGTCTGTACTGCACTGTGCCATACATAAGAAATTGGCTCTTTTGCTTGGAACTGGGAGGTATGAAATGGCAATTCTTTCTTCGACACTACGAGCATTATCATACAGTACTTGCCTACCTACTCTCTCCTCCCTTAGAAATCCCAACCATACTCGGCGACCAGAATTTCAACAGTATCACGTTTTTTTCGATATAATCCCCATTCTCACACAGCACGGCATTCTAGTCTACCCCATCACCCCCTCCCACTTCACAAGCAAGCACATCTCCCACGCCCTTTGCCCGAGGTCGGCCCCACTCCCCACTTCTGGCCACATTACCAGACCGCCCCGTTATTGCAATCCGCAATCTTTACTTTACTTTCTTTTTCCCTTCCCTTCTCTCCCTCCTCACCTATCACCACTGATCCCGGGCAGCAGTTACTTGTAGCTTAACCAATCCGACAGGTCCCACACCGAGATCTTGGAAAAGGAGGAAGAGGGCAGGCAGGAGTGGCGGCGATCGTGCTTGGCTGCTATGATAACGTAAATCTCTCGCTTCTTCCTGCATACCTTACTCACTCGGAAGTTGCCGTATTGGAGGTGTAGGACTGGTTCACTCGGCTGGCTCTTTGTCTCTATTATGCTTTCTGGCAAAATACCCGGTTTTTTTTTTTTTTTTTTTTTGGAGGGGATGCGTAGTGCAGCGTGGTGGGGGGTACGGTGTGAATGTCTGCGCCATGTACTCGTACTTGAGTATGTTGCATGAATGATGATGGGTGAGCGAATATAGTGGGTCGGGGAGGTGGGGGGGGAGGGTGAGGTGGAGTGTATGGTGGGTTCATGGGGTATCACTCGGTTTTGTTTCTTGGCATTGCGGCGGCGGGTGGGGTGGGTTGGATGGTTGGGCTGGCCGGCCTGGATATGGGTGAGTGGGAGGGCCCGCGTACCCGCTGATATCCGCTGGACTGGGAATGCACTTCCTGTGCTCATGTTTCGGGGGTGGGGAGGGGAGGGATGGAGGGGATGGGAATATATCGTGGAACGGGCCGAATTTCCCATACTGGTTTTGATTATATGGATGCTTGGAGGGGGGGAGACCCCACGAGAAGGCCCGGGACAAGAAAACTTATGGTTTTAGGGTTTGCCGGTATGAGGTTCGTGAGTTCTACCGTGCCCCCCCGCCCCTATTACTCGTACAAGTACCGTAGTTTGGGGAAGCAAAGGGTTATGCTTTTCTTTGCTTTTTCTTTTATGGGTAATTAGTTACGGACGGGCCCCCCTTTGAGCAAGGGTTTCATTGGGATTAACGGATGTCTGGTTGCGTGTCTTGAGTGACGTTGGGATTTCGTGATATTCAGCTCTCCAATCCGTTTTTTTCTCTCATTGCTTTTTTGTGTGTTGATGCGGGATATGATTTGGCCCCCATGTGGTCTGTTTCCTGTTCAGGGAGGGGGGTGCAAGGGAGGAGGATGAGGAGGAGAAGGAGAAGGAGGAGGGGGGGGGAGGAGGATCGATTAGCTTACCGTACAACCGTAAAAAAGGTATTAATGAAGCCGGAGCTTGCGCTTCCGATCCTCGGCCAGAACTCCATCCATCCCCTCCTACTCCATTACTATATACTGCGGCGTGCTTTGGACTGGTAGGTAAACTGTATAATAGGCAATAACGGCTTGGAACTATATTTCCCGTTTCTTCCCTTGCCGTCCTACCCAGCTACAAGTATCCATCCTCGCGTACTGTAGTACTTGTACGAGTACCGTACTGTTATTGTAAACCTCGAATAACCCTTCTGAACAGCACACCGCAGCAGCTTTCCCCTTGTAACGCGGGGTCGGGCGTCAGCCCTGAATCCTTAGGGAAATTTCTATTCCAAAAAAAAAAAAAAAAAAAAAAAGGTGGTGGGGTATTTTTTTATTTTTTTTTCTTTCCATAGTAGGGGTTCTCCATGGTAGTAGCCGCTCACAAGTCTCGTGTTTTGTTTCCTTCTTTCAAAAGGCGGTGAGATTTAGTGTTATCTTATTCATTGGTTTATTCCTTCATCCCCCCTCTACTACTGCTGATCTATGCCCTTTATTTTGCCTTTCTCGGTCGTGCCGCAATGTGCTCTGTCTGGGCCGCAGGGTGGTAAATGTGTGAGTTACGGAATTGGCGTGAGTGTGGTTTGGATTGTAGGGGGTGAATTGAGGGACAGATCGAGTGACGAGATTCTGAGCTTGATGGAGCTTTTCCTGATCCTCTGTTACAGCGCTTGCTTTCCAACTTTCATCGGCATTTTGTTTGCGATTCACAGTTTGATTGAATACTTGTGAAGCATAGCTCATTAAAATCTCACCGAGTTTCCTGTCAGGAAGGTGAAAAGGTCGAATGTGTCGGGAGTGCGTGGTGGTGGTGGTGGTGGTTGTGGTGTGTGTGTGTGCGTGTATGTGTGGGCGTGTGTGGTGTGTTTGTGGTGTGGTGTGTGTGGATGAATGAGGATTCAGTGGTGTTGCGGTAAGGCTATCGTCTCGCTTCGCTTGCGGGAATGTCGTCGATTGGGAACGTCCTGTCATACCGGCAATCGCTGGGTTTTTGCGGGGATAATGGGCTTTCTGTTTTTGCCATCGTGCCAACTTGCTCACTCCCCAAATACCGGTACCGACTTGAATTACACCTTGCTGAGTACCGGTAACTTTGCGCCGCCGAATTGAAGCCGGACACACTCATGAAAAAAGTAAGGGATCAATCAGCCAGCGAATGAGCGGGCAGGATTGGGTTCTGCGCCGAGCCATATTATTTATTCTCATGTGTGGTATTTGGAGATTTAGAGCCATGAGCAACTGCCACCTGCACATGTGTGACATACAGTATATGCATGCCGCTGGAGCGCTAGAATTGCTGCTGTCCTGTCTTGTACTGTAGGAGAGTGGCAGTGACTCTAGCTAGGTTCTGCTCCAGCTCCTTCTTCCTGCATGTGATGCTGGCATCCTGTTGCTTATGTGAATGTTTCTCGATTGTGGAATTGGAGATATATATCGAGAGATATTGATGGAGATGGGGAACCTGTTGGCGGCTAAGATGAATTACTCACGGACCCGCTATTTCTCCCGTATATCCGGCTACACCGCTCGGCTTGGCATATTTTAGACTATAATGCAGGTTTATCGGCTCACCGATCACTGCCGGTACTACTCTATGAGGGTGTCCGGCTTCATCTCGGCCACGCGAGTTATATAGAGTGAGCCTGCAAAAAGTCAAAGAAAGGAGGGGAGGAAATCTCAGGAAAACGATTGATTGCGAAACTGGCCATCGGGTAGAGGGGGGTGGAATCGGCCACGCTTTCGCCTCCGGCAACGGACAGCTTTGTCTCACGCACACCACGGCTATGGAAGCGAGTTGAACCTGAACTGGCTTTTACTTGTAGCTTTTTGTATGGTACTTGTAACTCGCATTTGTAAATACTTAACCGTGAACAGTTTTGAGACCTCAACAGAACTCCTTAGCCTTTGTGCAGGCGAGGGGGGTTTTGTGAACCCTACAGTCACTGTTATGATAGGCCGGATCCTATAAAAATACCATATTTGGGAGTGGTATTTTAGGTCGTGGTATTGTGGACTTTGATAGATAGCGTGGGAAATTTATATCATACGTATGGATCAACTGCATGGAGGGGGGGGGGTTATGGAAGGGTTCCCGCAGTACCGTGTGTGACTACCGGTACGGGTGTGGGAACTGTTTGGATAATTCAACACGCCGCACAAACACGCACGGACCATGGAGCAAGCAAGCAGCCAGGAAAGCATGCCGTTATGACAGGAAGGGTCCTTGCTTCAAACCCCAGGTTACAGTACCCGCACGGCAGAACCAGCTTGGGGGGAAGTGGACTACCCGGTCCTATACTGCCAGTATAGGATAGTATGGAGGAAGGCGGAGCCGGCTGCAGGTTATTGCGGGTCGCCGAGATTAACCGTACACCTGAGTAAAAAAACCGGAGACCCGAAACCGCCGGCAGCTACTTGTGTTACTACTGCCATAGATTTGAAATCAGGAGAAGCTCATTGTGTGCCTGAGACTTTGGCGGAAAGGGATTTTCCGCCAAAGTCCCTTACAGGTAGTCCAGCAAGGTCTTTGAGGTTTGCAGGCATCTGCGGTCCGTTGTCGTGCCATGTGTACT